TGAATTACGTATAAAATGTAATATCGTTTTCGCAAAAAAAAATCCAAGGCCTGTATTTTTTCAACATTTAATCTAGTGAAAGAGTTCAAAAAGCAGACTATACTGTACCAATAGTTCACAGGTGGAAAAGCATGCTCATTCATTCAAATCTATTGAGCCTATGAGATTTCAAGGTTGAAAGAATAATAAAGTATTGAAACCAACACAAAAACACTTAGGATAGATCTCAAGAGCTACTGAGCTAAACTCACTTCGTAGAAGCCGACCAATCTCTGCCATCAGGCATGTTCATCAAAACCACTTCAACGACCGCTCTTCCATCTGTCAACCATAGATCAGCAGTAGTCAAAGTCTCACCATCCACAGTCACTTCAGTAAACGAGGTCACCGAAAAGCGATAGGTGATGATTAATTCGATACACGAGAACCAGACACGAAAACATACTTGCATGCGCACTGGTATAAGATTGCCTACTGCATCCTTTTCAAACAGCACAGAGCGCAGTATCTCGTCAGACATGTCACCCACAGCGTGGTCGGGCAGAGCCAAATTCACACGTTTAGCCAAAGCTCCATCTTAACGAAGAATAAATAGCGCAACATATTGAAAAATACTGTGTCCAAGTGAAGCGACGCAGAAACTTGTAGATAATTATGTAGAAAGAAACATACGGGACATAATGGGGTGGCCAGGATCTGGTAAAAGACGGAGGTCCACCACTGGATACGCGCCGAATACACCAACATCGCAGAAAAAACACTTGACTGTGCCCGATCGTGGCAATTCCTGAAATGGACTCATTTTAAAACCGTTGAACTAACAGAGGAAAGATAACAGCTTAGTCTGGCCTTATGAAAAGAACTTTAGATTTGGCTCAAAATGCTGAGTTAGATTTTAATCGCTAGCCGTGAGCGCTACTCTGGAAAAAGTTACTGGTTTCTTTTCCAAATAAAGGTTCCATGCTGAAAGACTATCAGTCTGTAATGCCATCTAAGTACCGATGCACTTTACTTGCGCTAAATCCCTATAAACATAAGGGACCCGTCATACTTCACCCAAAAAAGCGCGCAAAAGCCCAAAAGCGCCAGAACGCGCGCAA